AGACACTGTATCTAGTGATGTATATGAGCACAAAATCAGGGTCGGAGTCAGACATAGACGCCTCAAACTCTAACGCAAGGATGGCATACACCTCCTCAGCGCTATACAATCTCTGTGACCTCTGTGACATGATCACAATCACTTTATTTAGTGAACTGTCACAAAAAAAAAAAATAATGAACCCCTAAAAAAATGCACAGACAGCAAAAAAGTGCTGCTGTGCAAGAGCCAGTGATTATAGGGATCATTAGCAAGATAGGGGTTAATAGCTCTGAAAAGAGCCTTTGGGTCTCACAATTTTACAAATCCCTACCTAAAACTATCTAAATCTCTCTACCTAAAACACAGATCTCGATCTCTCTCTCACTAAAACACAAGTGAGGAGAGGGAGGGAGACCCAGACTGATCAGAGTCAATATTTACTAATATTGACCTGATCAGACAAATGGGGATCATAAATAGAATAAAATTGTTTTAGGGGAAAGCTCTGATAGGATGTCACCAGGCAGTCTAGGGACACCCTGTAACATATCACCTGGCACCCCGACTTGGGTACCTCTATTGAAGGATGCTCATAGTGCTTTCCAAGGGCTCCAAGCACTCCACTAGACACCATAACCACCACAGACCCCATGAACCGCCGCTGCTTGGTTGGGGTATCGCCGTCTTCCACCCACTCTGGATCCAAGACCAGGATCCAGCTTCCAGTAGGTAGACCTCTCTTGATCTAGAGAGCAGGAACAGGAACAGCTCTTACAAGAGCTCAGTGATTATACTCTGAGGAGTATAGTGATTATAGCAATCCCTAGATTTAGGTAGTTCTCCCATCCCCCAAACATGAGCCAAGACTTCATGAAGGGTAGAACAAGTCTGAGGCTTTATTGATACAGGTTTGCTTATATACAATTCCTCAGGCCAGAGGCACACCCCCTGGACCTGATGGAACACCGCATTCCCAACTGTACAGACCAATAAGAACAACCATACAGTATGTGACACTCCCATGTACAGCAAACAATCCCTCACCTCTGCCTGGGATATAATTAAAGTAGCTAATAGAATAACCTAATTATCCACAGGCAGAAAAATAAAAATTTTCCCCAAAGTACAGAAAACACCCCAAAACATAACTATCCCAATAAATATTACATCCCCAGATAGCCCTGATCTGGTTGAGAAACAAATCCAAAATCCAAAAATCACCCAGATTAGAGCAGGGGTTTAGGAAATTCCTGGAAGTCTCTTTTGACCATGATTTCATGCCCAAAACAGTTCCATGGAATTAGGCTGTGCGGCCGGTCTATTTTCAATGTCTAAGTTCAGTTCAAATGGGAACCGTTCATGCACTTAATGTTAAAGTGCTGTAAGAATTATCAAAATGAACTGGTGAATGGCCATAGTCTATGTGTGTCCCTGGTTCGTGGGCTTCAATGTACCGAACACCGCTGCGTTCGTCTGAAAATGAAAGGAATGGCTGGAAGCCTGGAAGTCCCAGTGGTGTTCGTGCGGTCGAGTGGCCGAAAACAGTTTCATAAGTTCGACGACAAAACACCGCTGAACACGTTTGACTAAACAAGATGGCCACCGCCACGTGTTCGACTATATGAGGTAAATAGGCTGCATACTCCACTTGAGTGTGGTCTGGCAGTTCAAGGCTCAAAGTTCCACTTCGACCACTTCGAAAGTTTAAAGGGGCATTGTGTCAAGTCCCAATAAGCACAAATAGTGTTTTTAAAGGGCAATACATCCCAGGGGCCATAGTCACAGGGCAAGAGGCTGGCAAGCATGCCTCTCCAAATCCCAGTGACGAAGGTGCTTTCATCACACAACCCCAGTAGCCCATGATGGACTGCCTTTAGAAAGGCAGCACTATCTTGGGATCCACATGGCAGGTGGGGGGGAGGGGGGGTTAATATATATATTTCATTTATTTTTGTAATGATTTTTTAAAATTATTTTCTTATTTTCTTCACCCCTTGAAGCACTCAGCACATGCAGAGCATCGGAAGCCTGCCTGATGGCTTCTGATGCTCTACCTCACTGCCGGACGCCATGTGGAGAAACCCAGAAGTGATCACTCCAGGGGAGCAATCACCCGGAGGCATCGCTGCAATACCATCAGAGCGGCTAGAAGTGATCATGATCGCTTCCAGCACTCTATTTCGCCGTGGACGTATGAGGTACATCTGGTTTTCCAAGTTATACAAAAAATAATATGTTAAAGTACTAAATGGAAACCTGGCACAGGTCCCCCAATGCCATGGTATATAAATAAATAACAAAGTAGGGTAACATCCTCACTTTGTCCCTACCTTGGGGCTATTAATAAAAAATTAAGTGGGGAGCATAGTGTTCTCCAGTCCCCCCATCTGTGGCCAGTGTGTGATAACTATTAAATAAAATGAGTGGAGGTATATAGTATCCCACCCCAGCTCTACCAATAAACATTAAAAAGGGTTTTAAAACACTGTGCAACTGATAAGTTACCTGCAGAAAATTATGATGGTATCTAAAAATGGATCCTGCAGGATCTCTAGGAGATCTCTGGATTTCTAGGAGAATGGTGAAAAACAGTGAAAACTAGTCCATAGGGGCATGTGCCCCTATTTGTTATTAAATGTATAGTAAAGCAATTTCACCATAATTGAATGTATATTTCTTGGGGAAAAAAAAGGATGCTGTCTTAACAATACAAGAAAAATACCTAATTATGGTTGTTGTATTTACAACAATGCATACAGAATACCTAATTGGTTGTAGTTCAATTTAACCAAGGCATGCCACTTCAAAGAACAGTGGTAATTGATCACTTTAATTTATAATAGAAAGTGTCTGTTTGAATGATTGGATACCATGAATGGCTATGTAAAATCATTGTCATTTTCATATTTCTCTACTAGGATAGCTAATTAAATGATTTAAATGATCTATTGATTTTTATGTCTAAAGATGATGGTATTTCAAATGCGTCAGTGATTTGATATACTGCTATACAGACAACTCAATTAGATCTAGTGTCAGTGATGAATATCTTTACAGATAGCAATAATGTGTAGGATACCAGGTTAATGTAGTAAAGAACTCTAATTAACAAACTTTGACAGTAATATAAAATGATACTGTTATTCACAAATATAGTTTGAAATAGTGTTCATCTTTAATTAGACTATATAGAGATAATGTAGCAGGAAGCACACATCTCATCCTTGGGCAGAAAATATATTTCCAAGTTTATTTCTATAAACACATATTGAGTTGTCACATGTTTTGGAGTTCTGTTGTAGTTATTTATTATTTTGACTCATGACAAGCATTAGTGTTTTTGTGAACCCCACTGCAAACAGGTAAAAAAATAAATAAAAAGATACCTGTTATCTATGGTAAACTTGAAGGTACCTAAATTATGATCACAAGTATAAAACAAATGTAAAAGAGCAACCCACCACATCTTGAACAAAAAAGAGGATTTGGGCAGAGCAATATATCAGTCATTCAAAATTGAATCTCTCTCTCTCCCTCCCTCTCTCTCTTTCTCTCCCACCCTCTCTCTCTCTCTCTCCCTCTCTCTCTCTCTCTCTCTCTTAGATAAAGACCAGAGTGAAATGATGGGAGCATAAATTCACTATAAAAATTACAACACGTATTGTCCATGACAATGGTTTGGTCCTTGCAAATCAGAACATAATGCACACACCAAATGAAAGCCAATTAAAATACTAATTGTCTGCCAAAAGGCTCAACGAATTCATAGGGATATACAAGCTTTCAGTAATATATATAGAGACAATAGAGTCACAAAAAAAACATGGGCTTGATCTCATGAACACCGTATTATAAAAGGATTAGTAGTCCCATGTTATTTGTTTAAAATAGTTAAAACTGAAAAAAAAGGTAATTCACTTTGGTCAATCTCTGTGATCCACCAGAAATGCTTCTCATAGAGAAGCATTGAAACATATGTGTCTATCTGAAATGCCCTAATTTCTGCTTGGAATAAGTACTCAGAATGCAACTTTCCCAATTGTCTGCTTTACAGTCTGGATGTTTATCAAGGGGGTTTTATTTGAAATCATCACTTTTATAAAATAAGACAAACAGGACATGTTGTTAACCCCTAAAGCATCATCAAGGTTTTGAATGTTCCTTTGAAGCCAGTCTCATACAGCCTGTGAGTTGTTTTTCAGTGTACAGCTAGTTTCTTCTTTCATGGTCAACTGAATCTATTTTAGGTGCTTTAAGCAAAGTGGCATTAGAATTATGTTTTTTGTCAGAAAATAAAGTTAGTCTTTCTTCATCAGCAATGAGTCTATAATTTCTGGGTGCTTTCTCCTACCGTGGTTTTTTTAGCTATAGTGTTTAGCTTTACCTGCTTCCAGGTAATCTTGTTCCCATGGAGACAAAGAATACTAGTATTAAAAGACATCTCAGATATGCATTTACAAATAAATGATATGTTGTTTTCAACCATACTCGTCCCATGATTTTGGAAGAATAGAGAAGCCTTTCACTTAGAATAATTCCATAAAGGAAGGTGTAATTTTCTGATTTTTGCTAAACTTTTCTCTCATCTCTGCCATTTGTATATGTTATAATACCACCTTCTACATTCATAAATCTGTGGGAAAATTGGGTGATATCATAATGTTGTCATGCATGTTGTTTGACAATGGAGTAATCTCTATAATTTAACACTTTAACACATTTATTCTGGTAAAATAAAACATAGACTCTAAAAAAAAACTAAATTACACAATAAAGCTGTAACCGCTGGTGGTTCCCTTATTTACCACTATAATGTCTTAAAGCATAGAACTTAGTAGGGCTAACCATACAGATATCTTAGCCATAATTTTATATAGTGTAAGAGATCCTCTATTTAACATATGTAAATAATTGAGAATACAATATAAAATAAGGATTGTCTTGGAAGCAATCGTTTTGTCTTTTGGATATTTATTATATAAAAATATAAAATCCATTATAGCAGAGTTTATAAGATTAAATTACATGCTTGCAAATATCATTAATAGGTTAACATACCCTTCTGAACATGTCATCATGTCAGCCTCTCTGTCATTTTAAGATGGAGCAGCGTCTGTCTCCAAGTCTCTCCTCTGTGTCTTAACATTTAAAAGTACACCTATTTATACCTTAGGTGTCGTCATTTTAGGTTACTGTAGTTCAAATATGAAAAAGTAACGCTTCTTTTACTTTATTCAATTTAGGACCTCCCTTAACTTGGCAAACATACAAGGCCATAACTAAAGGGTGCATACGTCATGGAAATTTTCCTGACTTAGTTCAAGATGGCATCTTAAAGTCTGAATATGTTATCTGTTGTTTATACTAAGTCGTAAGTGTACAGTCGTGGGAGATTCCCGGATTTGGGGAAGTTCCATTAACTTGGGGTTACCACAGTATATTGTGTACTGCAAGAGTCGTAGTATAGCCTTGAAGCTTGTTTATGCATTATTGTTATTGTAATTCGTCTGGGACAAAATGGCGCAAACATATTATGCACTGAGGTTATTGCTTAAAGAAACATCTATGAGAAACAATATGTTCCATTTCTTACACCTTGTCAGTTTGCAATATCTCTTAAAGACAAAGTACACAGTTTAAGAAATACAACATTTCATTCTAAAACTTGTAATATTTGCATTTGCCCATAACACCCTCTCCATTAAACTGTGGGCATTGTAGCGTATTTCTTCCTTAAATTAGTGAACCAAAGTTCTCCAACAGTCTTTTGTTTTTTTGTGCTCCCAGCATCTTTGATCATTGTTGTAACAGTAAAATATCCGTAGTGTGATCTTTGCATGTAAAGGTGGTTGATTAAAATGAGCAAAGCTTTTGTCTGGGAAAGAATTGAAAAGAACACCAAGTTCCAGAGTAAGATATTCTTGGATGGATCCGGATACGAATTGTAATCCAAAATTAAAAGTAGTAATTGTATTTGTAATTCAAAGTCTTTAAATGCCTGTAGAAGTTTAAATTTTTTAGATACATTGCTGGAGGTTGTGTTTGTAGAATACCCGGGTATTTGTTGTTTAGTATTGGTTGTAGAGTCCAGCTTTCCAAATATTTGGCTAGAATTGGTTGCAGATATTAAATCAGCATCATCTGTTATCACCTTGGTGATGGTGTTGGTATTTGTCTTTGTCTTTTTTTATTTTGTTTTTTCTATGAAACATTTTTACACCATTTATGATGTGTATAGATTGGATACTCTCCGATATTCTTTTACGGAATCAATTAATTGACATAATTTCCAAGACATTGTCTTAAGTGACATGGATCCAATTATAGTAAATGTTATGTTGATACAGCAATCGAAGTGGATTTTCAAGAACGCCTCTTTTTGCTGTATTGGAATCTCACTGACATCAGGTGCTGTTGTGCTAAAAATGTTAACAGGTAAAATCTGTGGAAAAATCTTTACATTTGTTATAGTTTGTATAATAATGATAGATGAAATAGTAACATAGTTAATATTTCTAGTGTTTTGTTTTAAAGATAAACACCCTTGTATATGATTTAGAGATATAAGGATAATTTGAAGCAGCAAAGTATTTACCGCCTTTGTTCACAATGGTATGTAAAATTACATTCTCTTTAAATGTTAAAAATACTCTTTTATTCAAAATCTCTCAATCTATTTAGAATAGTTGCTAATTGGAAATATGACATTAATTATCCTTCTTTGTCCTGTTAGGGAGAAGACAACTTATTCCCTAGTTATTATTAGTAAATATAATAACTACAGTTACTAGTGGCTTAAAATACCAGAAACACCCCAAAATTGTCTTCAAAACATTTTTTTTTTTTTAAACCAAGATCGGACAGCCATTGTGGAAAGTTACGTTCGTGAGATTGGATGCTTAACAATGTGAATCTTAATTGTTTAAGTACATTTTTCAGTGGCTGTTGGATGTAGCTTAAGATGATTAGAATGTATTATTATTTCTAAAAGTGAGTTAAGAAAGCACTCCGATACAATATTGAATGTATTTATATTTTAACTCTACCTTTGTATAGGTGGTTTATGTACCTTTAACCATTACAAACCAAATAACATTTTCTTTGTATTTGAAAAACTGATATAATATTTGATTACGTGTATTTTAATATATATATATATACATAGAGTGGTATGGATGATGAATTTATATCTTTGACATCTTTTCACCAGTTTGCAATAGGTGACCTAAATGATCAATTTCCAAAATCATCATGTATATCACCTGGACGGGTTAATCCATAATACTCTTTTACTTTCCATTGACTGACCTTAGCTCTGGCAGACTGAATATTTTTATCATTATAAATAAACTTTATGATAGTTGAAGTAAAGTTTCTGCCTGTCTTAACTGTTTTTAACTGTTGAAGTATTTCACTTATATTAATTATACCACTCTGCAAACTTAAACGAATATCGAGTAGTTTCTGTTTTAATAAAAACATTTTATATTTTCTTCTAAAGTTTAAACCTTATTCATTATTGCACTTGTTATTGCAATCATATGATCTTTAACTATCATGATTCAATTATTCATCTTGGTAATTAGCTGTTATGCTCTTATACGTATGTTTAATATATTTGTTTGTAGGCCAGACTGCAGCTGCATATGGCATTTTAGCAATAATCTTCAATTGCGTTTCAGATATTCACAAAGTCTATCCACCTTTGTAATTAACACATTATGTGTTTATTTTATACCATTAATTATAGTATCTGTATTATATTACACATTGTCACTGACACATTTCTGATACAGGGAAAAAAATAGCATGATTGCTTTAGTAGTTATAATTTTTCTGTCCATGCACCACATTCCTGGAAGTCCAGAATATAGCAAGAATCCTTGGTCTATGGTCCTAGAGAGCCATTTAATGTTTTGATTGGTATAGTTATACAAAAAGAGCAAGGAGTACGACGGTAGATCACATCTGCAACAGAACTATTACAGATTCCTTGTTGTATCAATGTCTCTGTGTTTATGTTTACAGGAGTTCCTTGCTTTGCAGGTATGTACATAATATGTAGAGTTTAAGAAAAGCTGCAAATCGTGCTTTAGTACAAGTGTCCCATGATGTCAAGTTTCTGAAAGATTTTGTTGGTCTTTTTATATTCCATTCTCTTGGCAGGGCATCTGCTCTTAGTAAGCCGGTATTGTTATTATTTATTAATTGCATCAAGGTTTCTTTAGTTAATTGATGTGTTTCTACCAAATTCAAATTCATATGCCACCAAATGTCATTGTAAAGTTCATTGTCACAGAATATTGTTCCAGGATGGTTTTTTCACTCCAGTAGGAAATCTATTTTCCTCTTCTTCTGCTCCTTCCTATTAACCCCTTTTTCTGAGTTGTAGGTAACAATCTGTCTTGTACTGTGAGGTGCTTTGATAGTCTATCAGGTTTTCTCAGTACCATGTTCCATCTTGAAAAAGAGCTGGGTGTTGACAGTTATCAGCCTTTATTTCTTTTTCCGGTCATCTTCTGTCTGGATACATAATTGCAATGTCCAGAATTAGCATAGCACTTCTTTTCAGCATAAGAAGGCTGTTTGCGGTAGTCACTCAATGATAAACTATATGGCAAAGTCTTTTCTTGCATCACCTTCATAGGTGCATCCAAAGTCTTTCACAAACATCTGTCTCATCTTTTTCAGATTTCAGCATGCTTTGTCATCATCGTTGATTCCATTATTAGGATTTGTTATTTGTCCAATCACATCTTTCTCAGGTATAATCGGTTTTTGGAATAATCTCAATAGGTTCCTTGTGAAATACCAGTGTAGGCAATCATTTCACTGTGCGCTATGTCTCTCCTTTTGAGATAGTTCTTGGAGGTAGTCCTCACGATCAAAGAACTTGTATAGTGTGTTATATAGTCCTGCTTGTTAACATAATCCCAATGCAGTTTTAAAACAACAGCTAGGGTTGATGTTATGATAATGCTGTAGACTGTAAGCATTCCATGTTAACTGTGAATGTATCACGTCTGTCTGTTCATCCTTCTCCTTCACATTTGCAGGTTCAGATGTCAGATCACAATTCAGTCTGTTATGTGGCTATGATTCTGGTGGCATTTCTGTCGTCCTCTGTTTATCTTGTCATCTTTAACAGCATCCATTGTATCAGTCAGTGGTTCTGTGAACGTCCTGTTAGTATTTAGCAGGTTGTAAAATATCAAAACTTACTGTTCTCTGTTGGCTCTGATTGTTCTCTGTAGTAAAAGTTATCTGAGTCACCCTCTCCAGGACAAGCTGGCCAACAGAAGGAAATAGGTGGTGTTGCAAGGCAAGGTGGGTAAGAAAAAAGAAATTCCCTAAATTTCTCTAATAGAACAAATGGTTCTAAGCTCTCCCTGGTGCAGAAATATAATTGTCAGTGAAAAAACATGTAACATTTCATATGGTGTCTCACCATTTGTATCATCAGGTATGTTGTGAATGCTCATCTGTACCATAGGAATAAATAGATACCACTGTGTGGGGCAAGCAACTAGTAACTTGGTTAATAATCATTTAACCTCAGCATTCTCCCAGACCACAACCCCACTTCTTTGGGGGTGGTTGGGGCACTGAAATCCCAAAGTAACCCAAATGTGGTTGCCCAGTTTAAGGTTTCCTTTGCAGTAACTGCAGGACCACCATCTAAATGGATGGTCCTGGGATTATCAAATGCATACTAAGGAAGTGAGACTAGAAAACGTGGCATCAGAGGTTGCACTTCGCACAGGATATATCCAAGTAAACCTGGTACATGCATCAACACATACAAAAACATTTATAACCATGAGATGTTGTCAAACTTTCAATATATAGTAATTCAAAAAGTATGTTAGATATTAATATTTCAATAAACAGTACATCAGTAATGTGGCAATAAGCAAATGCTTATGATTACTAAACACATGAGTTACAGTACTTCCCATATTGGACCACCAATATTCCTTTTCAGGAGTCAGAAGTACATTACCTCTCTATAAGAGCTTGTCCAAGCCATGAAAAAGCTTTTAGGGCAAGTCCATCTTTCCTCTATAGGAAGAACAACCAACATATTACCTTCAATGGTTATGTAATTAACCCATCTAAACTATAGGAGTATTTATACGGATACCAGGTGGATAAGGTCTGGATATCCTTGCAAGCATAAACTCTGCATCATGACTGAGAGATAGGGTATGCGATGTGATCCAGTGACCACAGAAAAGCGTTGGTAGACACATTGCATCAAAGTGCCTGTTAATGACCAACTACATGAGGAGAGGGCCCATGCTTTGTTATAAGCATGTCCATACACGTATTACAATGCCAGGCTTTCAATTTGTTTCCACAAAGCAAAATGCAGTTGTGGATATAAACTCACGACGTATCGTAAGAAAAACAGTTTGAACACCAGACTGAGACTCGAGATCAGTGAACAGTGGACCAAAATAGATAAATTAAATCTTATCAATTAATATACTTTCTTTATATTACTTTATCCTCTGTATTAACTATGAAATATTAAAGTTAAAACAATAACATTTAAAAGCCAACTTTTAGTGTGGATAGGAATTACAAGGCCGTTCATAATGTGAGATAAAGAACAGCTTTTTTAAAATCCGAATAGTCTGTGAACACAAGATGACCTTGCGCTGAAAACTCACTTGCAGGGGAAAAACAAAACCTTCTTTTTTTCTTTTTCTTTAATAAGTTATTAATGAATTAAACGTAGTTAGAACCTCCCTCAAAGTCCCGATGACTTTGCAAGAAACATGTCGTCCTTAAATACTGGGTAAGTCTATTAAACAGTGAAATAGCATTTTTACACTGTATATCATGTTGTCACAGCTATAATGTGCAGTATAACAAACTATTTTATAAGTGTTGTGCAAACTGTTCATTAAAAGTCAGTGATCTAGCGAGCTATAGAACATTTATTTATTTATTCTTTAAAGCTCTGACATCAATCGGCAAAGCAATATTGTAATGGTGTCCATTGCAATCTGCTATCTTACATGCTGCTCTCAAAAATTTTGAATATGTTCGGAGATTTCTTGGGCAATGATAAATCCCCCAAAACAACAACTTTACATTTATGCTAAACCTGCCTGTTGTAAACGTATTCTGTATATTTCTTGACATAAGTACTTGTACTTAAATCTGTTTAACAAAGCTGTTTATATTTTGGTGTAAAATAAATTTTTTATTATTATTATTTATTTTATTTATTATTTTTTTAACTTTGCTTAATTTTTAAAGATACCTGCATATTTAATTAAATATCCTTAATATGTCTTTAAGGCATAAAATATCTGCAAATTAAGATTATATACAAAAATGCATGTTCTGGGTGTTCCCGTGATTCCTTTTCTATCATTTATTTATTTAAAAAAAATTTAAGTCTGGAATCTGATTTCTTTTGGGATGAGCACCCCTCTGAGCCCCCCAATTTCAGAGGCTTCTTTGGAGGTGACCACAAAAAAGTATAGA